CATCCCTTTTTTTTTTTTTGAGACAGGGTTTCACTACATAGCCCAGGCTGGCCTTGACCTTATGGCAGTCCTCTTGCCTCAGCCTCCCAGGTGCTGGGATTAAGATGTGCGCTGCCATGCCCAGCCCAGGACACATTTTAATTTTTTAATCCTGCCCTCCCTCCTCTCCCTCCCTACACCTCATGATCCCCTCTCCTTTGAGAAAGCCTGTCTTGGTGTTTCCTACCATCTGTCCTATATTTTGCTCCTCATTTTATCCCTTAGGCCTCTCATGCGAGAGAACCCAAGTGACATCCAAGCTCCGGTGACTAACTTGCTTCACTGAGCATTATGGCCTCAGGGTACATCCATTTTCTTAGAAATGACTCGGGGTTATCTTTACTTAGGGCAGAAAACTTCTGTACTGTGTGTAAACATGACATTTGCTTTATCCATTCATCTGTCAGTGCATGTTGAGGCCACTTCCAGTGAGGCCACAAGAAAAACAAACTTCTCCATTGATGGCAAGAATATAAACTGGTAGCACCACTGTGGAAATTAGTATGGCGATTTCCCAAGAAACGAAAACTAGAAAGTCCGGTCCGCCCGGCTGTCCGCCAGCCTTCTAGGTATGGCTCCCTAACGTTCTTGCGGTGCAGGACGCGCTTAGTGCACTTAGCAATTTTTACTGTAACCAGCTTGCATCTGTAGAGCCACAGGTGTCTGCACAGACTGACAGGCAGGTCCCGCAGGACTCCCTCTCGTCTTCTAGGAACCTCTTCCTCAACAGAAGGTGTGCCGTGTGTGCTCAGGGCCTGATGCCGGGTGTGCGGATGTGAGAGCTAGTGTGGCCTCTGGGGTTGGGACGGTGGCTCCCAAGTTAGTGGCACCAAAGCTCCAGGTGGAGCCGGTGGGACATCATTAAGACAGAGGCTGGCAGTTTTGAGTCTGGTGTCATGTCCTGGGACCTCTGTCTGTGCAGGCACAAGTGTCCAGCCACTGCATGTCCTCCACCAAGCCCCAGCTGGGGGCCGGCGAGCCAGCCCCTTCTCACCAACCTGACACTTCCAGCCTTCTTCCACTGCTCCTCTCCATACAGGCCAGAGCCACTGCGCCTCTCCTCGGAGCAGCTCTCTTCTCTCAATTCACCACCTTGAATCTTACCTCTGGTGTGGCCTTCCAGGAAGGTGGACCCCACTGAGGAAGGGATCCCAGGGCCAGGGAGGGGACAGGGAAGATGGTGTATCTATCACTGGGGAGGGAAGCTATGGGCCCCAAATGGCTGGCATGGTCAAATGAATACTGAGTGGCCCACAAGAGACTGCCCCCTGCCCCCGTCAGTTGGTGGAGCTGGGTCACCTCACATGGAAAAGGGAACCCGGCAGACATGTCCATCAGCACACCCTGGGATGGGCCAGCAGTACACATGCAATCCTGAGGGCCCTTTAGCGAGGGAGGCAACGAGGTGAAGACAGTCTGACCCCGAAGCAGAAAGCGGCCTCAGCCAGGAAGGGGAGTTTCCAAAGTCTTGGGGTGGCTCTGCTGGCACCTTGATGGCCCCTGGAGACTGACCCT